TACACATAGTGGAGAATTGAAGTGGCACCTACGGTTAAGAGAACGTAACTTGTGGTTGTGGGGTCCGTAGATGACGTGGCCTAACGAAACTGCAGGAAAATATTCTAGTGGAGTTCTTCTATTTAGGCATAGTAGATTTCCAAAAACGGGCTAAAAAAATAGCAAAACCTTTTTGTTTCAATCCAGGGAAGCCCTCCACTAGCTCCAGCTCCAACTCTACGCTATTTTTCATGGTACACGGTACTGGGATTCGAACCTGAGACATTTGTCCTTTGCTCTTCCAACCACTCCACCCCTAAGTCACTTGTGTCTATATAGCATATCCATTCTCTAGTATTCATTTTTCAGGATTTAAAATGATTATTTAGAACTCTAAACGGCTTCAAATGAAAAAGTCATAAACCACAAATTTGTTGTTCTAATCGAGATTTACAACTTTGATTTTGGTTGTTTCGCCGTCTTAAGTCGTTTAATAAATTTGAATTTCAAAACGTTAAAACTTCAGACAGACTTTTGGGACCTCAAATGATTTTAAATAAAAAACTCATCAACTACAAAGTTTTTATTCTCATTGAGATCTACAACTTTGGTTTTGGTCGATTTTCCATCTAAGGTTGTTTGAAAATTTTGGTTTTTAAACTTTTAAGAATACATGGATATATTGAAACAATAGCACATCTATAATTTTGATAATTTATGGATGAAATTATGCCTAAAATATAAGTTTCTCTTTTTGAATAGACAAAATTGAGTTGAAAATAAAAGTTAAATGCACTTTGATAGTTTATGGATGAAATTGATCCCAAAATGCAAAGTTTGTGGACTAAAACGATCATCTTCATAGTTGTAGGATAAAATTGATCCTAAAACTAAAGTTTGAGGACCTAAACAGCCGTTTTAAAAGTTTAGGGATGAAATTGAGCCTCGAATAATAGTTGAGGGACCAAAATGACTATTATGCCACAATAATTAAAATATAATCATCTTATTAGTCGGTTCATTTTGTGCTATGTTATCAGCCAAGAGAAATGATCTATGCATACAAGCTACAATCCGTTTACGTCCGGATACAGTTGCAGCTAATACTGAATACTTTGCCTAACTTATTTGCAATGCTACCTCATGCAAAATGAGAAATACAGCCACTGCATAGTATATAAGTTAACTGTATATATCAGTGCACGTGATAACACTACGGGTCATATTAAGTCCAAAGTTAATTCTAGAACTTCTGGTGACCAGTGATCCAAGGTTGTCAGGGCTTAGGGCACATGGAATGACTAATCAACACAAATCCCCAAGCTTAGGGTAACTTACCAGAAATACAAAAATAGAAACTGAAGTGAACATACCGTGTCTGTATGTAGTGAATTGTAGGAGTGTCAGATGCACCAAAAAATGAGATGCAAAAATAGGCATTGCATAACACAGGCTGTCACTTCCCCTGAAATGTCAGGCAATAAACATACATTCCAATAAGCCCAAAGTTTTAGAAACACCAAGCATGTGTGTCAGAAATTAAATGATCTGATCTTTTGAAAAAATTAAAGGATCTGACATCTTTTAGTTCTGTCAAGCAACCAAATGACTATTAATTGTCGTGATACAGTAGATAGATAAATTCACCTTGCAGTTTATTCAAGTCATGCAAAAACCTGCTTTTCCATCTCTTTGGTGGCAGGTAGACAAATAATCTATCTGCATCTACACCAATCTGGGCATGTCTCCTTTTCCATTGTGATCTCTCTGTGATTTTTTTATTTAGCTAAATAAACTGACAGTTCATTTCAGAGTAACATTTATAAACATAGTATTCGGAAATAGACTTTGTTCCTATTGAATTTATATAAGAATTCAAATACCCAAAACTATTTCATAAAAGTATTTCTTTTAACAGCCCGAAAGAAAGCTGCCTAATCATTAAAATAATGCAAAGTGGGTGTTCATTCCTCAGAGATAATCTGAATTTTATTTACTTGTACATCAAACCGGTACAGCAGGTGTTATCATTACAAGCCGATTTCCAGTATATCGATATCTGTAATTTTGTCATCATGTTTAAATTAATTTATCCTGTTTTATTCAGGTACATTCTAAAGGATATTTTGACCTATTAATCAAGATAAATTCTTTCTATAATCTCCACAACCTTGTATTTTTCCTACAAATCATTAGAATTCTAATTAAGGCGGTCTGAAGTGGACTTAGGAACAGTGGGTTAGTTTGTTTCCTTAGGTGTCATTGAGCAGACGGCATGGATCCTGACTCCGTGTTCGGCTGAAGGGAGCGTGTCCGATTTTGCTCCGGCCCCAGGTCAAAACGGTGCTAATGGCATTCCCTGAGGTTTTGAGCAACATCCCACATAAAATCCAGTTCACCAGAAACGAGGAAAAATATATATATAGATATCAACTGCAAAATTGTATGGCTGAAGACAGGAACGGCCCCTATGCACGAGCACCGAGATTCAGAGCAAAACAGGATCCAGACCCTGAGGCCGCATTGCGAGTGCACACAGCTCAGGCTGTCCAAGGGTGCGTGTGAACACGAGGGATGCTCACCAGAATGAAGTGACTACCTTTGATGCTCCGCATCAGATCGTTGCAAAGCTGATACTACACTAAGGGCCGGTTTAGATCCGAAAATTTTGATAAAATGAGCACGGTAGCGTTTTCGTTGTCATTTGACAATTAGTGTCCAATCATAGTCTAATTAGGCTTAAAAGATTCGTCTCATGGATTTCGTCTAAACTGTGTAATTAGTTTTATTTTTTATTTATATTTAATGCTTCATGCATGCGTCTAAAGATTCGATGTGACAGAAAATCTTAAAAATTTTGGTGTTTTGGGAGGGAACTAAACAGGGCATAACTGCGTTGCGTGCGCATGAGTCTGGTTCTTTCTTTCCTTAATTTATGATGAGATAAGAGAGTGACTTCCGGTCGTTTGTGTCGAAGTTGGTAGGTTCCGGTGGTTATCTTCTGAGTCCGGCAAATTTATATTTATATACGGTATTGAATGCCATCGCACGTCGTATAGAAAGTTAGAAACCGGCGAACTAAGCGGTCAGCTCGGTTAAGGTTTCAATCGCAGCGTGATAACGAAACAAGAGACTTTCTAGTTAGTGAGCAGAAAACTAGAAATCACTACGTTGGAGGCCCGGAACCGATGGAAATTTAATAATGGACCCTGCAATGCATAATCTCTGTATTTTCTTCTTGTCCTGATTCATCAACAATATCACTAAAACTATATAATATTGTGAACATTGCGCACAGACACGCAGAGGTAAGAAGTTCTATGCCATTTTTTATAAAAAAAAAGAGTTAGGATTGTAAACATTTTGTACTGAATGTCTCGGTGCTTGTAATTTTTTTAGATTTATATTGCCCATCTCGATTGGGCCACGGTGACGTCATTTCATTTTTGGTCCGAGTGGAACTTGCTCAGTGGTCATAGTCCTAGATGAAAAGCACACTCAACTACGCGCGCTATACAAGCAGGTTGAGCAGCTGAGGCTCCCAGCTGCGATCATCATCCGGCTGCTATGGACCTTGGCCATCGCCGCTGCCGCTACCGTTGCCGTCGTCCAACGGCGCCAAGTTGAGGTCCAGCATGTCCCGGTCCGTCTGCGCCGCGGGGTCGTCGTGCGCGGCTGGTGGCGGCGCATGTGGCCGCCGAGCGCCTGGCCCATGGAGAACTCGAGGCCGCCGGGTCGCTGAGCATCCGCGCCTGCAGCCGCGTGTGGCTGGTGCGGTGCCCGCCGAGCTCCTGGAACGACGGGAAGCGCTTGCTGCACGTCATGCACTCGAACACGCCCTCCGCCGCCATGGCCCTGCGCGCCGCGGCCGAGGACGTGCCGCTGCTGCCGGCGGGCGACGACAGCGTGAGCAGCGCCTCGGCGTGCGCCCGGAGGCCTCCATCTCCTTGCTCTCCTCCGCTTCGTGTCTCGTAAGCGTCATGACCATCGATAGATCAACCGACGTTTACCGGTTCGATTCTCCTCCTTTATATTATTTGTATATATAAGCAGCCAACTAAAATTCCACCCTTACGCCCACGTACGTGTTCATATATAAACTGACTAACGGAGGCAAAATTATTATTAAGCGCCATTAGTATGGTGTGCGTTGTGTTGGGTTGGGTTGCTCTGTTTCGCTCTGCGCGCACCTTGTGGTTTGGACGGTTCGGCTTGGGCCTGTACTTTGCACTATCACAGGTTTCCTATTTGTGAATTTGGCCTGTTGAATTCGCCGGCATCAGTGGACCTTGGCCATCGCCGCTGCCGCTGCCGCTGCCGTCGTCCAACGGCGGCAAGTTGAGGTCCAGCATGTCCCGGTCCGTCTGCGCCGCGGGGTCGTCGTGCGCGGCTGGTGGCGGCGCCTCGCCCCTGTGGCGGCGCATGTGGCCGCCGAGCGCCTGGCCCATGGAGAACTCGAGGCCGCAGACGGCGCACTCGTGCACCCGCGCCCTGTCCCTCTCGGCCGCGGCCGCTGCCGCCGCCGGGTCACTGAGCATCCGCGCCTGCAGCCGCGTGTGGCTGGTGCGGTGCCCGCCGAGCGCCTGGAACGACGGGAAGCGCTTGCTGCACGTCTTGCACTCGAACACGCCCTCCGCCGCCATGGCCCTGCGCGCCGCGGCCGAGGACGTGCCGCCGCTGCCGGCGGGCGACGACAGCGTGAGCAGCGCCTCGGCGTGCGCCCGGATGCTCTCCTCCGCTTCGTGTCTTGTAAGCGTCATGACCATCGATAGATCAACCGACGTTTACCGGTTCGATTCTCCTCCTTTATATTATTTGTATATATAAGCAGCCAACTAAAATTCCACCCTTACGCCCACGTACGTGTTCATATATAAACTGACTAACGGAGGCAAAATTATTATTAAGCGCCATTAGTATGGTGTGCGTTTTGTTGGGTTGGGTTGCTCTGTTTCGCTCTGCGCGCACCTTGTGGTTTGGACGGTTCGGCTTGGGCCTAACTTTGCACTATCACAGGTTTCCTATTTGTGAATTTGGCCTATTGAATTTGCCGGCATCAGTGGACCTTGGCCATCGCCGCTGCCGCTGCCGTTGCCGTCGTCCAACGGCCGCAAGTTGAGGTCCGGCATGTCCCGGTCCGTCTGCGCCGTGGGGTCGTCGTGCGCGGCTGGTGGCGGCGCCTCGCCCCTGTGGAAGCGCATGTGGCCGCCGAGCGCCTGGCCCATGGAGAACTCGAGGCCGCAGACGGCGCACTCGTGCACCCGCGCCCTGTCCCTCTCGGCCGCGGCCGCGGCCGCCGCCGGGTCGCTGAGCATCCGCGCCTGCAGCCGCGTGTGGCTGGTGCGGTGCCCGCCGAGCGCCTAAGCGCTTGCTGCACGTCTTGCACTCGAACACGCCCTCCGCCGCCATGGCCCTGCGCACAGACACAATATCACTGAAACTATATAATATTGTAAACATTGGGCACAGACACGCAGAGGTAAGAAGTTCTATGCCATTTTTTTATAAAAAAAGAGTCACGATTGTAAGCTACCGTGCAGCACTCTCCTCATCTTTCTTCGCTCTCCTGCTCCCTTGTCCTTTCTTCTTTCTCTTCCGGACCTTTCTCCGTCCGGGCCGGGAGCGTGATCAGCGAGTTACACAATCTATCAACTCGCGAGCCCCACCGAGCAGGGTGGCTCCCCAACGAGAATATGTCGGAAATGCCCCTGGGGGAGACGGCTCTATATATAGCGGGCAGGGCAACCATCTATCCAACCAGGGGCAGCAGCCACCGATCTCAGTTCGCAGGCTTAGCTGGTCTGGTCTCCTCTTGCATCGTTTCCTCCCAAATCCTCGCCACTCGCTGTTCGCGGCCCGACTCCTAGGCTGACAATGGCCTACGCGCCTCAGGCCGACGAGCCGGAGCTGATCGTGGACCCCGCCGTGCCCCTCGGACACGTTCAGCGCCGCCTCCTGGACGCGGGCCGCGTCCTCGTGACTGGCGGCTGGCTCGTCGTCATTAATTACATCAGCAGCAACCGCGACGGGAACGCCGCGCACGCGCTCGTCGGCCTCGCGCTTCTGCTACTCGGCGTCTTCCTCATCGAGCTGTCACTGGTGGCCGATCAGTTCCCGGGAGCAGCAAGGGTTGGCGCCGCCGTGGCCGACGCCGTCCTCTTCTACTTCTTGGCGCCGGCGAACTAGCTTGCTCCTGGGAGGCTGGGACGACAGGTCTGCATATCGTTGCACGCGGTGACGCACGCTGCGCACCTTCTGGTGCGCCGTTGTATCAATAAAATTATTATTAAGCGCCATTAGTATGATTTGCGTTGTGTTGGGTTGGGTTGCTCTGTTTCGCTCTGCGCGCACCTTGTGGTTTGGACGGCTCGGCTTGGGCCTGTACTTTGCACTATCACAGGTTTCCTATTTGTGAATTTGGCCTGTTGAATTCGCCGGCATCAGTGGACCTTGGCCATCGCCGCTGCCGTTGCCGTCGTCCAACGGCGGCAAGTTGAGGTCCGGCATGTCCCGGTCCGTCTGCGCCGCGGGGTCGTCGTGCGCGGCTGGTGGCGGCGCCTCGCCCCTGTGGCGGCGCATGTGGCCGCCGAGCCCCTGGCCCATGGAGAACTCGAGGCCGCAGACGGCGCACTCGTGCACCCGCGCCCTGTCCCTCTCGGCCGCGTCCGCTGCCGCCGCCGGGTCGCTGAGCATCCGCGCCTGCAGCCGTGTGTGGCTGGTGCGGTGCCCGCCGAGCGCCTGGAACGACGGGAAGCGCTTGCTGCACGTCTTACACTCGAACACGCCCTCCGCCGCTGTCGCCCTGCGCGCCGCGGCCGAGGACGTGCCGCCGCTGCCAGCGGGCGACGACAGCGTGAGCAGCGCCTCGGCGTGCGCCCGGAGGCCCTCCATCTCCTTGCTCTCCTCCGCTTCGTGTCTCGTAAGCGTCATGACCATCGATAGATCAACCGACGTTTACCGGTTCGATTCTCCTCCTTTATATTATTTGTATATATAAGCAGCCAACTAAAATTCCACCCTTACGCCCACGTACGTGTTCATATATAAACTGACTAACGGAGGCAAAATTATTATTAAACGCCATTAGTATGGTTTGCGTTGTGTTGGGTTGGGTTGCTCTGTTTTGCTCTGCGCGCACCGTGTGGTTTGGACGGTTCGGCTTGGGCCTGTACTTTGCACTATCACAGGTTTCCTATTTGTGAATTTGGCCTGTTGAATTCGCCGGCATCAGTGGACCTTGGCCATCGCCGCTGCCGCTGCCGCTACCGGTGCCGTCGTCCAACGGCGGCAAGTTGAGGTCCGGCATGTCCCGGTCCGTCTGCGCCGCGGGGTCGTCGTGCGTGGCTGGTGGCGGCGCATGTGGCCGCCGAGCGCCTGGCCCATGGAGAACTCGAGGCCGCAGACAGCGCACTCGTGCACCCGCGCCCTGTCCCTCTCGGCCGCGGCCGCTGCCGCCGCCGGGTCGCTGAGCATCCGCGCCTGCAGCCGCGTGTGGCTGGTGCGGTGCCCGCCGAGCGCCTGGAACGACGGGAAGCGCTTGCTGCACGTCTTGCACTCGAACACGCCCTCCGCCGCCATCGCCCTGCGCGCCGCGGCCGAGGACGTGCCGCCGCTGCCGGTGGGCGACGACAGCGTGAGCAGCGCCTCGGCGTGCGCCCGGGGGCCCTCCATCTCCTTGCTCTCCTCCGCTTCGTGTCTAGTAAGCGTCATGACCATCGATAGATCAACCGACGTTTACCGGTTCGATTCTCCACCTTTATATTATTTGTATATACCGGTATAATGCCCGTGCTAACGCAACAATTTTATCTAAAGAATGATCATAAAAATATCTAATTTGTTATCTTGTAGTTAAACATTTACCCAATTATTATATTATAGCCTAAGTTACATTTGGCGTAAGTCATTTATCATTTGTTGCACATCTTCAGGGATGTTGGAACATTCGTTTGCAGGACTCGTCAAAATGTCAGCCACGAATTCTTTCCTCAGTGTAGATAATAGCTGTGCATGGTATAGAATATAATATGTTAGTATTGTATGTAGTGTACGGAATATAGTTGGAGACTATATATGCTTACAGTGATGATCTGTGGCAATCTTATGCTGTCCCACGACTTCATGAAATTATAGACAAGAAAGCCTTCTAATTTCTTGACGGAGAAGATCAGTTGTTTATTTGATGTACATAAATCAAATTACTGTTTTTTTTATAGAAAAGTTGAACCAAATTTTGTGACACTTACCAGTATTTATGACCCGAAACCTTTGTTACATATTTAGGGTATTTTTGCTCCCAGTAATAAATATTTTCGCTCCACCTAGAATTTGATAGTGTCATGGCGAGATTGAACATTCTAGCATTAGTGTGGAATGTAGGTATATATGCCATTTCTTGAGAATAACCCTTCAAACATGCATTATCTGATAGCGGTTGAAGTGGATCCATAATATGCACAGTTTTGTTTTGTATGTCCAGTATGAATAAAATGTATCATTATGATAATATGGTAGTAGAATCTAAAAATAAATATACAGATTGTAAGTGGTTCATAAATAAAATAAATAAATTCTTATAAAGTAGTACACTGAGCATAACCTACCTTACTAACGGAGGCAACGTACGTGTTTGTATATATAAGCAGCCAACTAAAATTCCACCCTTACGCCCACGTACGTGTTCATATATAAACTGACTAACGGAGGCAAAATTATTATTAAGCGCCATTAGTATGGTTTGCGTTGTGTTGGGTTGGGTTGCTCTGTTTCGCTCTGCGCGCACCTTGTGGTTTGGACGGTTCGGCTTGGGCCTGTACTTTGCACTATCACAGGTTTCCTATCTGTGAATTTGGCCTGTTGAATTCGCCGGCATCAGTGGACCTTGGCCATCGCCGCTGCCGTCGTCCAACGGCGGCAACGGCGGCAAGTTGAGGTCCGGCATGTCCCGGTCCGTCTGCGCCGCGGGGTCGTCGTGCGCGGCTGGTGGCGGCGCCTCGCCCCTGTGGCAGCGCATGTGGCCGCCGAGCGCCTGGCCCATGGAGAACTCAAGGCCGCAGACGGCGCACTCGTGCACTCGCGCCCTGTCCCTCTCGGCCGCGGCCGCCGCCGGGTCGCTGAGCATCCGCGCCTGCAGCCGCGTGTGGCTGGTGCGGTGCCCGCCGAGCGCCTGGAACGACGGGAAGCGCTTGCTGCCCGTCATGCACTGGAACAGTTCCTCCGCCGCCATGGCCCTGCGCACAGACACAATATCACTAAAACTATATAATATTGTAAACATTGCGCACAGACACGCAGAGTGAAGAAGTTCTATGCCATTTTTTACAAAAAAAGAGTTAGGATTAAGCTACCGTGCAGCACTCTCCTCTTCTTTCTTCGCTCTCCTGCTCCTTTGTCCTTTCTTCGCTCTCCTGCTCCCCAACTTGCGCAGCTACCGTGCAGCACTCTCCTTTGTCGTTTCTTCTTTCTCTACCGGACCTTTCTCTGTCCGTCCGGGGCGGGAGCATGGTGATGGCGCGTTACACAATCTATCAACTCGCGAGCCCCACCGAGCAAGGTGGCTCCCCCACGAGAATCTGTCGGAAATGCCCCCGGGGGAGACGGCTCTATATAGCGGGCAGGGCAACCATCTATCCAACCAAGGTCAGCACCAGCAGCCACCGATCTCAGTTCGCAGGTATAGTTTCCAAACGTGCCGGCACGGTACTACACACGGCACTAGCCCGCCCCGGCACGGCACGTCTAGGCACGGCACGCTAGGCACGGCTGATGAATTGTGTCGTGCCATCGTGCCCGACTCCAGGCCCAGGCACGGCACTATCATTCCTGGAGCGTGCCGGGTCGTGCCGTGCCGACTCCAGGCCCAGCGTGCCCGTGCCGGCCCCGACACTAAACTGGCAAAACCTCTCAATGAACTCAGCACAACAATTCAAAGAGATCTAAAATGACTAAGTTCACAAAAAATCAAAAACAGATCAGAACACAGCACAGCAAAGAACACAAACTTTTAAAACTAAAACTAATTTAAGTAGGAGTTGTGCAATGGCTGTCTCATTAAAAACCTGTTTAGGTAAAACTCACCCTTGTAAGAAACCCTAAACAGAAAAAGAGTACAGTCAGCTCCTAGATTAATTGTTCATTACATCCATCACCACAAGTCCAAGTCTCAGTTATTACAGAACCATTACATAAATAGGAAGTTAACTATTCGACATCAAGATAAAGACCAGCAAAGGCCTCTTCCAGCTCCTTGTCCTCCACCATGTGCTGCAGTCTTGTCTCAGCATTCTCCCAATCCTTGATGCAGGTAAGCGTCTCTACAGTTTCAGGGTTCAGCCTCCGCCGTCGCTCCTCGATGATCCTGCCAGTTAAGCTAAGTAGACTCTGAAGAAATGGTTGACACAGGCACTGTTAAAATATCTTTAGCAAGAACAGAAAGTACTGAATACGTAAGCTTATGCTCATGCCACCACTGCATGATGTCAAACTCATCATCCAACTGGCTTACTGTGTCACAGTCCAGGTAGGATACAAGTTCACTAGAGTTAGAACTAGCAGTTGCTGTCTGCATCAAGGAAGTGGCAGAAACACTCCTAGAATGATCAAGACTAGAAGGGAGGGAAGAACAACCAGCTCCAACATCCAACTCCTCATCATCATAAATTTCAGCCCAAGCTATTCTTTTCTTACCAGACAGGGATAGAGGAACAATTCTTTTCAGCCTATTAGAGCCATACATTGCATCATACCTGTTATACATTTTAAACAGAAGAGCTCTGGTGTCCAGCAACTTATTAGTGTAGTCAATATTAAAAAGAGAATGTAACTTCCTAAGCACTTTGGTAAATCCCTTAATTTTAGCTCTTGGATCCAATATGAATGCAATAGAATAAAGATCAGGTATGTTCTTCCAATACTTATTGTATTTGTCAATCATAGGTTGGATAACAGATCTTAGATGTTCATCATGTTGATACCTATGCAGGTGTATAGCAATCTTAATAAGATGCTGAATCATAAGTGGAGAAGTAGGATAGTAAACACCAAACAAATCAACAGTTGAGTCATAGAACAGTTCAAGAAATTCCAAGATTTTATTTGCCATAGCCCAGTGATCATCAGTCAAAAGGAAACCACTACCTGAACCTCTAGGGTAATTAGCCTCAATGAAAGTACTGAAAGTACTCTTGTGAGGCAGCAAGTGCTTAAGCATTAGGTAGGTAGAGTTCCATCTAACATCCATGTTTAATCAAACTTCCTAGGTCTAACACCACTAGCAATGCAATAACTCTTGTATGCAACCATTCTTTAATTAGAGGAGTTCATAAAAGAGATTGCTGTTCTAAAATCCTCAATGAGAGGATTCACAGCAGCCAGTGCTTATTTCACAATCAGGTTAATAATATGACAAGCACATCGTTGATGCAAAAACAGATCAAAACCAAAATATTCTTTAAGTATAGGTTTCAGTTTATCCATAGCATTTTTATTTGCAGATGCATTATCCAAAGTTATAGAAAAAACCTTGTTAAGTATACCATACTCAGCAAGGACAGATGCAACACGCTCAACAATGTTCTCAGCATTATGGGACACATCAATCAACCTTAAACCAAGTACCATTTTTCTCTAATTGCCAATCAGCATTAATGAAATGAGCCACAACAGATAAATAATCTTCTTTAGCCTTTCCAGACCATATATCAGAGGTAATAGCAACAGATGAAACATCATTATCCTTTAAACAGATCATCAGTTTATCACGTTTCTCATTGTAGTATTTAAACAGATCTCTACCAGTGGTTTGCTTAGAGACATGTGAAAAATTAGGGTTATGAGCAGTTTTAATATAATCTTTAAATGCCTCAGTTTCACCAATCATAAGAGGTAGGTCCAATCTAGCAAGCATACAACAAGTTCAACACGAGCTACCTCAGCACTGTACTCCCAACGACGAACAGAACCATCAGAATTAAAAGCAATATGAGTATGAGTCATGCCCCGGGTCTTCTCAAGTTTCTTAGGACACTTAGCAAGATGTCGAGTAAGATGCCCAGTGCCATGAGCAGAATAAGCAGAGTAGCGCTTATGGCAATGAAGGCAAGTGGCAGCAAACCTAATCTTTCTACCTTTCTCAGTTTTGTAGTGCTTCCCAAAGTCCTCCCAGACAGTAGACGTGGAAGGGCGATTAGAACCGACAGGGCTAACCTCTCTCTGGCCACCGTCGGCATCAGCCACGTCGACTGGGGGTCGGAGTCATCGACGGGAAGGGGATCAGCAACAGAACGGCCGAAGAGCACGGCAGCGTCCTCGCGGACATCATCGTCCTCATCAACTCCGGCCATCCCGCACATACGCAGCTCGTCGTTCTGGGAGTGGTCAAACTCCCCGTCGTCGTGTCGCCCGGCGCCTGGGGCCATCTCTGCCGTCTCCGGTTCCTCGACGACTGTCACAATCAATAGATAAAAGTAGGGTTAGGTTGGGGATGAAGGTTTGGGTTAGGGTTAGGGTTTACCCTTACCTCTACGGCCGGAGCCCCATAAACGACGACGATGAGACGGACCGATTGCACACCCCCGGTACCTCAACGGAGACTGGAGCCCCGAAGGTGGCGGCAGCCAACGATGTGGACGACGGACATATGTCGAAGATGCGGCGAGGATGCCGAGAACGAGGCTCAATCGACGTTCAGGGATGAAGAATAAGGGAACAGAAGGAGATTGAGGGCGGGAACCACCGGATCTGAGGGAGAAGAGGGAGATTGAGGGCGGAGAGGGAGAAGAGGGAACCACCGGCCACCGGAACTGACCCCTTACCCGCCGGAAGACTCCATAGTGACGGCGTCGAGGAGCCCAGGTTACGAGTGCGGCGAGTAGGCGAGGAGCTAGGGTTACGAGTGCGGCGTGGAGCGGGTGAGTGACAGAGTGAGCGGGGAGAGCCGGAGAGGAGAGGGCGAGAGGCTAGGGTTACAAGTGAGGGGAGTGGCCGAGTGGGGAGAGCGGCCGCATCGGGTGGCTTATATATCGGCCGCCCGGCGATCCAACCGCTCACGCCCCGCCTCCGCGATCCGACAGCTGCGAGCTGTGCCTGCCCCGTGCCGCCCGTTGGAACGGGCCGTGCCTGGGCCGGCACTATGGGCCGACCTTTCGGCCCAGGCACGGGCATGTCTACGGGCCGGGCCAGGCACGGGCACGGGCGAGGCCGGGCCGTACCGGGCTAGGGCCGTGCTTTTTCGCACCGGGCCCGTGCCAGCCCTTTTCGCGCGTCCCGTTTGGAAATTTATATTCGCAGGCTTAGCTGGTCTGGTCTCCTCTTGCACCTGTTTCCTCCCAAATCCTCGCCACTCGCTGTTCGCCGCCCGACTCCGACGCTGACAATGGCCTACGCGCCTCAGGCCGACGAGCCGGAGCTGATCGTGGCCCCCGCCGTGCCCCTCGGACACGTTCAGCGCCGCCTCCTCGACGCGGGCCGCATCCTCGTGACCGGTGGCTGGCTTGTCCTCATCAACTACACCATCAGCAACCGCGACGGGAACGCCGCGCACGCGCTCGTCGGCCTCGCGCTTCTGCTACTCGGCGTCTTCCTCATCGAGCTGTCACTGGTGGCCGACCAGTTCCCGGGAGCAGCAAGGGTTGGCGCCGCCGTGGCCGATGTTCTACTTCTTGGCGCCGGCGAACTAGCTCCTGGGAGGCTGGGACGACAGGTCTGTATATCGCTGCATGCGGTGACGCACGCTGCGCACCTTGTGGTGCGCCGTTGTAGCAATAAAATTATTATTAAGCGCCTTTAGTATGGTTTGCGTTGTGTTGGGTTGGGTTGCTCTGTTTCGCTCTGCGCGCACCTTGTGGTTTGGACGGTTCGGCTTGGGCCTGTACTTTGCACTATCACATGTTTCCTATTTGTGAATTTGGCCTGTCTATCAAATTTCTTTGGGTCTGTGCATTTTCCGAGTTCCTTTCTTTTTTCCCCAGTTCCCAGTTCCCTTGACAGCAACAGCAACGAAATTACAAGAGTTTAGTGTAACCTGAAACGTTAAAAAAAAACACCTAGCATAAGGCCATATTGAACAGAGAACACAGGGCTCCACCCAACTGGCATCAAACAGAATTTAAAGGTTTAGTCATAACAGCATTTTCCCAGTTCCCAGGTTACACTCTGACTCTCTTACGGTCTCCGTTCGTTCTGCTGTAAAATTGACTTGGGAAATCGCCGTGGAAGATAGAATTCTAAGGTTTTCGCGTAAAAAATGTGCTGCTTATAGCGAACTCCTGCACTCAAATTCCTAATCTACAGTGAGATGTACATGCGAGTTGCCGGTGACAATCCAGTTACTTTCTTATTTCTTTCTTTTATGTACAAAACCAACTGTCAAGAAGAATCTGTTGACGTAACAATCAGCCAATACAACTATACAGGTTGCAGCTCTAGTGCTCTACTGAAGCAGCGCCATTCAGATTCAGTCAGCTAAAGGGGCCAAACGCCCAAACCTCATCGTGGACGTGGAGACCATAATTACGAGAACAAGGCCCATTACGCCTAACCTGCTTTGGATGCAGCAAAGACCAGCAGTAGCGGATGACAACCATGTTTGTCTTTTCCGAGGCAAAAGCTAATCTATTCCATGCCAAGAACGCACGGTTGTTGCTGCTATGACTACAGTGCTGCCACTGAACAAAAGACCGTGTAGATCGCATATCCGCATGTTTGTCTGCTAAATTAAATCGGTGACTTTGGTCATGTGTAAGTTAGAGATCTATACAGTATTTTCAGAACTTTGGGCCACTTCATGTATTTTTCACAACAGTAGAGGGGGACAATTTTTAATAAAAAACATAGATCTAATAACTATTATTTGCAATGATGACTAAATTTGGTACAAATTTAATGCTGCATTTTTTTTATTATGGCGAGGATTTCTGGAATTTACCTTTTCCTCCTAACGCATCTTGTGCTGTTGAGGGCCTTCAATTACAATAGTGACTAAGCATATACTAAACTAATGGTTAGATGTTGTTAGAGTATATATTTTTTTTCTAGCGTATCTTGTGGGGTTTCATGTTCAGGCTCCATTGAATATGGTGGCATGTAGCACTTTATTTACTTTGAATCTAACACCGGTAGATGCTGGTAATTTATAGAAACATGTATAGAACACTTTATAATTATGTAATCATTATGTTTAAGTTTATAATTTATATTATCTTTCATAATTGCATAGATGAGTGATTTGAGGTGGGCCATTTAGATGCAAATTCTTGGTTATTTGAAGTATTTTAAATAATAGAAAATGTGGGTAATTTTTTTAGAAAATAAAATAGATCCGTAGCAAGATTTTCCTTGTGATGATAATTAGATTGTACCAAATAAAATGCATATTTCTGATTATTTGATAATTTCTAGAATTTACATTTTCTCTTATAGCATCTCATGAGAACAATGTGAACAATTCGTTAGAGGGTTCTGATATGTAGCATCAAAACAAGTTTTATATATTTTTCTATAAATTTAATTAAAATTTATAGAAATTTAGCTTAATACTCCCTTCATCTCAAATGTTACCACCGGATTAGTCCTGTACTAAGCATCAGATTTTTGAATTTCTAGTTAAGTCATGCGCGGCTGCTAGACCGCCCGCGCCCGACAGGTGGCACCATCGGTGGAAAACACTTAGGGGCTGTTTGGTTACCTGCATTTCGGTGAACCAGGCCCATGGGGTGCAAGCGTCCGGTGTTTGGTTTCCAGGACGAGCCTTTGAGCCAAGCTCCGCTCGAGCAAAAAAGGTCCCTCAGCCAGGCTCCGTAGATACGTGGGAGTCGAGCGTTTCCCTCGGGCCTAGCTGGCGCGGTGCAGTGGCGGGTGCGCGGGTGTTGGTATTTATTAACTTGTCACTTGTTTAAGTAGTGACCTAATGATTGTTGATTTCTTAGCATCACCTTTACTAAGTTGTCATCCCCAGCGATGGTGCCAGAATTGCTTATTGGTACTACCTAGTGCCACTTCTAGAATGACACTAAGAAGTACTTTAGTATTTCATGTGACTAGATAAAATATATATAATTGAAAGGAATCTGCAAGCACACAGATAATATACCATTGTAGCATTTCACTCGGGAGTATTTCATGTATCGTTATTTATATTTTTACCACAGGGAAGAATGGAAAGTGAAAATATATTGATAACTTATACACATGATGGAGAAATAAACCATAACCAAACTTCTACTCACAACAGGAGTAAGTCAAGAGATAAATGTATATGAATGGCAAGTAATAACTAATAATTGATCACACAGAGTACTCCTTTCTATGGCATTAGCATGGCTAAGTAGAATTTTAGAGAAATAATTCCTAAGTCATTCTTAATTACAAGTCAAAGCATACGTTGATTAGTGCAATTACACTTAGTAATCATGGTTAAGATTAACTTCATATCTATACATAAGGGATATTACTAAGGAAGGTTAAGAACATAGCTTGTCTTCCTTCGTAACTAGATCCTACTTGTCCTATATTCGGGGAGTGGACTATAAAGGACTCAACGGGAATGTCACATCCGCGATCTACCACATGGCCTGAAATATAGGGTGTATCCATAGGTAAACAACATATAAGCACCATGCTTACACAATGTCGACCACTCACCCCTGGATCCAAAGAATGAGCGCTATGCGAACTTATGCATGAACATGACAATAATCTAACTATACTAAGTATATAATCAAAGTAGGTGATGAACATGATAACTAGGAACATGATTAATACGAAGAACAATGTCATAACAATTGTAGCAAACATATAAAAGTAATGAGAGATACAGAAGAGAGGTGGTATAAATGTTATACCAAGCCACGCTCTTGACACGATCAGAAGTCCAAGCGAAGCTTGCCTCCCTCTAGACCTAGCCTAGCTAGCTATGCCCTAGAATATGGTGGAGTTCTGAGGATGATTAGGGTTTCTGTCTTCTCAAATGACTTGATCAGGTTTTGATGCCTCAGGGCGGGTGGCAGGGGCTGGTATATAGGCTGAAGCGTCAATCCTGAGCTCTCGGATCAAACCGACTTGAATACATGATGTAGATGCAATCTTGGAGGCGGTGAAGAACCGACATAACGAGATGGAGGCTAACAGGTGGGGCCTAGTCCCACCTGGCGGCCCCTCGCCCTCCATTTCGTTGTGTTGTCCTCTGGTGTCCTTTGAAACCTTCTAGAGTTGTTTATGCGATGATTAAGCGTGATTAATTCTGACATCTAAGTCCACCTTGATGGTTTTCTAGATACACCCTGTAAAAAATACAGATTCACCAAAATTCATAGAATTTGTTAGTTTAAACCCCTAAACCTTTGCTGGTGATTGTATTTATGCCCTTATACATGTTGTATTGATGGTTTATAATGTTTGTTAACTACCATCAACAAACTCCCTCAAGCTTAACCTTTGCTCGTCCCTGAGCAATGCTAAACTCAAAAAAAGGATCAGGAGTTGCTGCGATGTTTTCACTCCTCAAAAGTACACATGCGTTCAAACAAGAATTCTCCTCTGGATTTGAATAAACCGATCTGACTTTCAAACTTACTCATATTACCTTCAACCATGGGGCTTCTTAGCCTTCACTTGGGTCTTGAGAAATTGAGAGACCGAACGATCAAGTCAAGCACTATGTCTCAAGTTCTTTGCTCCACCATTATTTCAGAGTTTTTATAGATTTTCAAAATAAAACTCAGAGCTTCTATTGTATGACACTCTCAAGTTTCTCAATGTATGTGATATTTGTGGATCCTCACCAAGGTAATATTGATATTATATCTTTCTCTTTCTACAACTAAGGCTTATGTGGAGCTTATAGGAGTGGAAATAGCATGAAAGAGCATACCTGCAAAACGTATATCGTAAAGTCAAACCTCGGATCCAAAGAGAGTTGAGTCATACAATTAAATTAAGATGTGCATGTGTGTGGATGTATGGTGCATATATATATATATATATATGGTGACTAACCTAATTCTACTATGCTCCTTGAAAACATATCTCTCTTTGAAACTTGGAAATATTCTTACAAGAAAACATGTGCTATCTTATTTATCTCTCTTTTCTTTTTTTAGGCGGGCATCTGAGTACTCATTATTTTAGATATCTCGGACACTTATCCATTTTTTCCAATTCTCTCTTCTTTTCTTCTCTTTTTCTTATGAATAACTTTTGCATAGCCCATGCCTCTTTTCTGCAACAAAACTTTTGAGAGATAGCAATAAGAACTTGGAGCATTTATTTGGTGGATGGAAAACCTGTCAAGCATATTTTTGTGTTCACTTCCAGTGTAGGAGTAAAATATTTTTGGGTGGATCTTAAATGGAATGACATGTTTTTGCGCCTACCCCCAGTGTAGGAGAAGTGCATATGTAGGTGGTGTGTATGTGATCTTGATTTAAGAGCATGACAAACCTCTCATAAGGGTCAACAAAGCTTGACTAAACTCAATGCAAAACAAGCAGCATATAAGTGAAACTTTTCCTAATCTAAATAACATATATGACTCTGGTAGGAATTCAAGCTTTGTCATACAGGAACTCATCATGAAGCATTTTTTATGTTTTCAAAAGATAAATCTCCAGAACTTTAGTATCACTTGAAACAAGATAAACATTAGCTCAGACCTTCTCATATCATACCCGTGAATTACCTAGACTTAGATCAAACATATGCTACCCACGAGTTTCAAGTTCAGAGTAAATTCTTATATCAAACCAGTCTTATCCAAAACTCGATAAAATTTAAGGCTGAAGACTAGGTACT